ATATATATATATATATATATATATATATATATATATATATATATATTTATATTTATATTTATATAGATATTTATATATAATGTTTTCCTATGTTTTCCTTTCACTGTTTGATTGATTTTCATTTCGCTTCGCGAGTTCCGCGCATGTGCCTACTACTTTTTGTGTGTGTGTGATTGTTGTCTGTTCTCGTTTACAATTTTTTCTTACTATTTCATGGCGGGAAACGATATGAAGCTTCACCTTCCGCACAACGTCTCTCGTCGTGTGTCATCGTCGAGCAACAAGGGGGAGTAGAAAGATTAAAGGAAGTCCCTACATCGTTCTCTTTTTTTTATTCTTTTACTTCTACTTCACGTTTGCGTGTTTGTTTGACAGCCGCCGTCGCATACGTTGCATCATCGTGAATGTTATTTGCTATGATCCTTCATTGCCGCGGAATGCGGACGCGCTTTCGCTTCCTCTGCCTCAGCAGAATAACCGGGAGCTCCTTCCGCCAGACTACGTCATTGTCCCGGATTGTGTTGTTCTTATTTTTATTTTCTTCGGTCTGTGTGGGTCGGTAGGGGCGTTAAACGCGCACAGTGTGGAAGCAAAAAGTGCAATGGCAGGGATTCTGCCGTCACCCACTCGCCCCCCCTCCTTCGGTGACCTCCATTTCTGGATGTGGATTATTTTACTTTTACTTTTTTTCTTTCTGTTGTTGTCGGAGTCATTGTTCTTTTCACGGCAAAAATATATATATATATATATATATATCTTTCTCATTCAATCAATCTATGTGCCCATCCATCTACCTTTCTGATAGTATTAACATATATATGTTGTTTTTATTTTTCTTGATCTCTCGTATTTCGTAGTCATGATCTTCGCGTGTGCACGTGTGTGTGCGTGTGTATCAGCGTGTGGGATTTTTGGGCACGCAAAGTTTGACCTGGGCATCGCCATAGATCGAAGGAAGGGAGTGAAAAGAAAAGAAAAGAAAGGTGTAAACAATACGCAGCGTCACACGTGATCCACTCACACACAAAAAGCGGGGGCAACAGAAGCTTTCAGGAGCGGTTGGTGGGAGTTCGTCTTCGTCACCACAACAGCCGTCCTTCGTGTGTGTGTGTGTGTGTGTTTCTCTTTTTGCATTCTCCCGAGTCGCTTTCCTCTAAAGAGAGAAGGAGAGAGAGTTGAAGCGCGTTTACTCTTTGTAGGAATAAGCAGAATCTGGTAGTTATGTCGTGTTTACGCACAAAGCCACCCTTCGATGCACGCACGCGATTCGAACGTGGAAGACGCTGTATGAATGGACGCTGGCTATGCATGATAACGGACGGCGTCGCACGACAACTGTCTTTGCTCTTCTGGCAATCGAAGCTGTCTCCTCTCCTCTTCATTTTCTTTTCTCTTCTTTTCTCACTTTTACTACCGCGTACACCTTGCGATGCAACACACACGAATTGCAGATCATTCCAGTCTCGCACCCAACACTCATTCCCCACCTCACGCCTCCGCTAACCGCCGCCGTCATGCCGCTCCACAATGTCGTCCGTTTGGTGGCCGTCGCAGTCGTCGCGCTCCTCTGCCTGCTCGGTCTCTCCGCCTCTGCCGCCAGTGGCCCCATCATGGACACCGACACCCACTACTTCGTGTTGCTGTGGTCGAAGAAGTACCCGTTGAAGTACCTGTGGTCCGGCAGCGACCTGTGCAAGTGGGAGGGCATCTCGTGTGACACCGTGAAGCAGCAGGTGACGATGCTGTTCCCCAAACTGGGCCTCACCGGCACGATCCCTACATGGAACCCCAAGAAGAAAGACTTCAACCCCGCTAACGTTAACGTGATCAGCATCAACCTCGCCATGAACGCGCTGACCGGCACGTTCCCGGAGCACTTCGGCCAGCTGCGCAAGCTGCAGGAGCTGTACCTGCTCGGCACGTCGCTGCAAGGCACCATCCCGCAGTCGTGGAACAACCTGCCCAACCTCGCCATCGTCGACGTGTCCAACACGAAGGCCTGCGGCAACCTGCCGGCGTGGGACAAGACCAGCATGCCCTCGCTGCAGTACATGCACTTCAACGGCAACACGCTGATGCACGGCACCGTGCCGGAGAGTCTGGCCACCTTCGGTATGGTCTCCTTCAACACGAGCGGCTGTCCGCTGTGCGGCTGCATGCCCGCCGCGTTCTCCAACAGCCTGTATATGCGCGTGCAGCTGAGCAACGACCAGCCGCAACTGGTGGCGCCGACCTGCGCCACAGCAAACGTGTGCACGGCGGAGGACCTCACCTGCAAAGCGCGTCCGCAACCCAAACCGAAACCGAACGCGGCGAGCGCGCCGGTCCTCGCCCTCGGCTCCCTTGCCGCCGTGGTGCTGAGCGTCGCGGCCGCCCTCGTGCTTTAAGTGCGGTGAGAGAAGAAGGAAAGCGGTGGTGAGGGGAGGAGCTCCAGAAGGCGAGAGCTGCTGGGCGCGATCCAAAAGGAAAAAGAAGCATCCTTGATTTCTTTTTTGTTCAAAAAAGGGAAGGTGAGAAGGAGCCCGGTTTGACTGTCTCGCCACACAAGCATTCGAGAGGGGTTGGCTTCCCTAATGCTGGCCCAGACAGAGTACATGACGGAGGCCATGAAGACAAGGTTTTTGCTGGTGGGAGTACCCGCAATTTATTTTTTTTCCTGGAGGATGCGTTTTGGCTCTGCGCATACGCGTGTGTCAACCCGCTTTCGATGTGCTTTTGCTCTTCCCCGCTCTTCTTTCTCCGCTGCAACGTCGTACGCAATCTCCCGCTCTCTTTCCTTGATGATGGGGGGGGGGGGGCGGGACACCGAACCGCACTGCGGCACCACGATAAGGGAGTCGAGATGCGGTTTCCGTCTCCGGCGGCGGCGTGAACGCAGGGGAGAAAGAAAAGGCTTTCTTCCATTATAGAGCATTCGACCAAGTGCAGAACAACAGCACCTTTTGGTGTGTATCTGTGTGTTTGTTTGTGCGTGTGTAGGTTTTAATCCTAATGTTGTACTTTTTATTTTCTCTCCTTCCTTTTCTTCTTGTTTGTGCGTGGATATGATGGAACGCTGTCGTGGTCTTGTATGTGTATATATATCTACACTACAGCTTTCTTTTTCTTTCCTCTGCATTTCCGGGTTTTTTATTATTATTTTCTTAATGCCTCGCGTTTGAATCGCCGCGTGCGGAGTGGTGGAACACGAATACGAGAGGGGGGGGGGTGGTGATGGCGGCGGTGGTAGTGCCGGTTGGTTCGGGTTTTGATTTCCTTTTCCCTCGCTCTCTTATGTGCTCTTACTATTACTTATTTTTCATTCTCGCGAATGAAAAACACAGCAGGGACGAGGTCGCTTTCTTTTTTTTTAAGAAATCGAATTCATAGGCACTACCGCAACGCTGCCCCCCTTCCCCCCTCTCATATTATTATTATTACTACTAATATTTTCATCCCACGACGTCACCCCTCCACCCGCGCACGCATGAGGCGAGAAAGCCTAAAAAAAAAAACACACACCTCATGTGTTACCCCGAAAAGGAAAACTTTTAAAAGATAAAAAAAAACTCTTCTCTCTCTCGTTCTTTTTGTTTATCCTCCGCCTCCCCTGTGCTTGATGTGACGAAGCACTCGCACCACCGTATTCAGATTTCTCCTTTCCTCTCGCTCTCTCGCTCTCTCTTCATTTCCATGTTGCTGTTTTTTAATTGCTGTTTTTGTTCGCTGGGGCATCCAAAAACAAAAGCAAAAAGGTGGAGGTGTCACCCCTGCGCTGCGGAAACGCACGTCCTTTTTTGGTAAGTCTTTGTGCTTCACTGCGAGTGACGATGGCGACTGCTTGTGTGTGTGTGTGTGTGTGTGTGTGTGTGTGCGTCTGTAAGTGGGATGCACCCTCATGCGGGCAAGTGAATGGAAATGAATACCCTGGCCCATGTAGGGAAAGGGAAAAACCTGCCGTTGCACGACTCGCAAGGTGGCGAAACAAACGCAACGGAGTGCGTGTGTTTGTCGATTCTCTTTTCTCTTCCTTGGTGGCGTGCAAGGTACATGGCGTGGTGCGGGCACTCGTTCTCAATTGAGGAAGAAACAACAAAGAAGGAAAATGAAGAGAGGTGAAGAAACGGTGTAAACGTGGCTGAGTGTGTATTTGCTTTTATTATTATTATTGTCTCTTATACTTCTACGTATACATACATACCAACATGTGTAAACACATGTATGTGTGCGTGTGCGTGTGTGTGTGTATTTGCATCTGCATTCGCGCCCTTCAATTTCTCCTTATCAATGAGGGCTTCTTTTTGGTTTTGTTTTCTTCGATCTCTCCTTATATGTGTGCACATGAAGATAATTTAAAAGGGGAAAAAGGCTGTAAGTAAAGCAAACAAAGAAGGACAAACTACAACGAGGCTGAGCGAGCAGCGCAGTCACAACACGCGTAAAAACACGAACGGACCGCGGCACTGGGAAAAGAATACTTTTTCTTTTTCTTTCCGCCCTGTACGTGCGCCGCTGTCTCCCGTTTAGGGGCTGAGTCAGGCGTCGACGGCAGCGATGACGTACTCAAAAGTCGTGCATCGCTGCTGCTCATCGCTATTCTTATGCTCTGGAGGGTTTTTTTTATTAAAAAATGGGCGGCGAGTTGTTTTGCATTCACGTCTCTCAAACCGCCATCGGCGACTCTCCCTCTCGAAGGTTATGCGAGGGAGAGAAAGCCTGAAGAGTCTGACTCACCTGTCGATGTCGATGTAGATGTGTAGAGAGAGATAAGTTCTACCTCTGCTTTTCGCACCCCTTCATCCTTTTTCTTTGTCTTGACCGAAAAGTATTGAGAAAGCCTTCCCCATCGACGGATATATTTATATCTACTGCGTTGCTACTGCTGTGATACCGTACGTGTGTTTACGCTTGTTTCATCAAGACCCCGTCTTGGCCCACGTTCAGCAGCGTTACGCCGAGTATTCCATTGGCCAAGCTGTCTGGTGCTGTCATCACGTGCCTCACTCCTTAGCCGAGGCGAGCGTGACTTTTCCCTGTTCTCTTTTCGTATTCTTATTCGAGCAGGGCGGGTTTTACTTGTTTTTTTTAACTTTATACACTCTTTGAACTGTCGAACACACACACACACACACACACACGAAGGGAGAGAGACGCACACGCATAGGCGATTTGGTGAGGCTGCAACGCAAACTGCGTTCATTCTTGAAGAAGCGGCGAATCGGCCCTACTCCACCTTTTGTTCTCTGTTTTATTGCTTTTGTTCTTTTTTTTATCAATAAAGAGCATTCAGCTCTGCCATTGAATCTTTATCGAGCGACGAGAGCGGGAGAGTGGGGGGCGAAGCGCTGATCATCCCTCGTTGCCACCGCGAAGACGGGAATCAAGGAAAGAAAGAAGAGAGAATAAAATCTATATCACAGAAAATATATATAAAAAAACAAATAGGAACTGGGTGGAGGCCATGTCGAACAGCGGTAGCAACGGAGCGTCTACCGCCGGCGAGCCTGACAACGCCTCCCACCTACCTCGCGTATTGTCACGTGCGCGCGAAGCGTGGACGCAGGCCGTTGCTTTCCTCTCCTCCTCCGTCTCGCCGTCCGAGCCGACCGGCCTGCGCAGCCGAGGACCCATAACATCACCGCAACTACAACCACAGCAGCAGCAAGGATACTCTGTTGGGCCTCATTCACCTGCATCGTCCTCCTCCTCCTCCACCGCATTGCCAGCATCGAACGGGGCGATGGCAGCTGCAATGAACTCCCTACAGCTCCTCGGCAACAGCTGGTTCTACGCGCCCTCCGGCTCCGCCGCCGCCGCTGCCGCCGCCAACGCTGGTGGGAGTGGGTCGAACCCGCTTGAGCTGCTGCGCACGCATCACCTGTACGTGCGCACGCTGAAGACGCGCTGGCGCAACGCCGTTGTCTTCCTCTTTGCTTTTCTTTTCTTCTGCTGCTGCACCTTCCGTGGGCCACAGGCACCTGGACAGAGTGGTCAGCACACTCTTTTCGGCAGCAGTGGAAGCGGTGATGGGGCTGGTGGCGGTAGTGGTGGTAGCAGTAACGGTGCAGGGGCGATGGGACTGGGTGCGGGGGTAGCGGGGGGTCTTACCGGGGCTGGTGCAATGGAGAACGTAGGGGCAGGGGACGACTTCACCGCCGCAGCAGCAGCAGATGCGCATCGTCGCTACTTCCAGCCGCCGTGGCTGCTGCGCGTGCTTCTCGGCTACACCGCCGTCCCTGGCCGGCTGGAAATGGAAGACGTGGAGTGGTGGCCCCCGTCGAACCGCACACCAGAAATCTCCGACCCGAACAGCGAGCAAGGGCTGCGCGTCGGGACGCCGAATGCGGCCTCGCTCTCCGTCGCCCGCAGCGAGCCGCCGTGGTCGGCGGACACACGGACCGGCGTTCTCGCCATCCTCTCTCGCCTCATCGGGTCCGTGTCACACCTGGTGTTTACCCCCGAGCGGCCGTCATACGAACTGGCGCTGAGCGCGTTCTCGCGCACCCGTCAAGCCATGACGGAGGGCAGCTGTAACCGCTGTCAGGCCCGTGTGATTGAGCAGGAGGTGCGCCTGGAGCGCCAGCGGTACTGGCAGTTTCTGCGCGAGAGCAAGCTACGGCTGCCGATGCTTCTCTACTACAATCGCCTCCCCGTCTACGCCATGATCCAGCACTTCCGTCTCATGCGAGTACGGAACTACCAACTCTTGGATTACGTCAGTCGCGCAGATGCGGCGCTGCGACGACCGGAGACGGTCGGGAATGACGTGTCGAACGACGCCGCCCTGCACGCGCGCGAGCTCGACTTTGAGCTGACGCGGCTGCCCTTTGTTTTTTACCTCCAGCGGCTGCACCTGCGCGCGTTGCGACACGCAGACGCGATGCGGCTTGAGACGTTCCACTTCCTGCGGCACCTCAGCTCGACGGTGCCGACGCTGCGCCACATTTGGACGGGTCAAGACCACTGCAGCTGGCCGGGCGTGTCCTGCGTGGTGGTGCGGGTGCCGCTGAACTTGTTGGTGGACGACGACCACCCCGCGGTGCGCGCCTTCGTGAACGATCTCTTTTCGGTCTGTCGGGGCCCGGGTTGCCGACAGCGGCGGTGTGTGCCGCCGGCTTGTGCTGCCTACACTCAGTACCTAACACGGCGCCTCTTCACCTCAGCCGCGCCGGGGTATTGGATGAAGTGGGATCGCACGGACGACACGGCGGCCATGGACGAGATGATCTTCCCGAAGCCGACGGCGCGCAAGAACGTGGGCGTGGAGCCGCCAGCAACAGTAGCGGCCCCCCACCAGCCGCTGAACGGTGCTCGGGGCGCTCCTTGGCACGGCGCCTCAACGGGAAATGCAGACGCGATGAAGCCGGAAGAGAAGACGGCGGGACACGGCGATGCCGGCTCCTACCCCGCCGGGCACGCCGGTCGCACCATCACGAGCTCCTCCCGCACGGTCTGGACCGAGCAGCAGTTTGCGTACGAGCACCCAAGCCTGCTCCTGGCGGAGCCGATGTTGCTGGTCGACGTCGATGTGAAGGCGATCATGGAGGAGGTGGTCCGCCCCGCTACCCCCCTAGCAGAAGCGGCAAAGGTCGTGGCGGGCGAGCACGTCGACCCGGCCGAGACCTACCGCGAGAACGTCGAGCGGCCGCTGGTGGAGGATCTGCTGCCGATGCAAGAGAAGCTGCTGCGCACCATCGCCGCGGCGGCGCCACGCGGGTTGCGCTTTGGCAAGCAGAGCCGCCGCAGTCCCGGTCTGACCATCCCCTTCACCTTCGTGGCGCTGAACCTGCCGAGCATGGGGTTGCGCGGCTACCTGCCCGACTTCTACGACACGCCATCCGCCTACGATGTTGCGGAGGTGCCGACGGCAGGCGGGGAGGGCGACGAGGCCGGCGGTAGGGGGGCCGGTACCCCACAAACGCACGGCAGTACGAACGGCGCGGGTGGTGGTGGTGCTGCTGCTGCCTCGGCTGCTCCAGGGCGCGCAGGTCGGCCGCAGGATGTGCAGGTTTCCGTGCCGCGGTCGGACGTCTACTGGGGTCGCCCCTCCCGTCAGCGCATGCTGGAGAGCCGCAACCCGACCCTCCGGCGCCCCCTCGCCACGGTGCAAGCCATCGCTGGTGAGGTGCAGCGTGTGCTGCGCCGCGTGGAGAGGATCGGGATGCGGCACCACCACCACGACCTCGCCGTGTACTTCTCGGAGGTGGCGACGTTAGCGCGGTTTCACGATGAGCGGTGGAGCGCCTATCGCTGGCCGGAGGCGATGATCACCGTCACCAAGGCCGTCGCGCCGAGCGCGTCGCGGCAGCTGTACCCCATCGTGGAGGACAACGCCTTCTCCGCCGCCTTCGCCACGCCCGTCTACAACGTAGACCGCCAAGTCGGGGTGTTTGGCGAGCTGAATCCCCGCCTCATCGCCCTACTCGCCTTCGACGTCTCAGGTAATCCGCTGCTCTCGGGCATCTTCCCTCGAACATGGCTGTCGATCCCGTTTCTGCAGTCGGTGCGCACCCACGGCGCGTCGGTGTTGGCCCCACCCCTGCGCATGCGAACGCGCACGTACAACCACTCCCTCTACTGCTCACGTGGCAGCAGCGGCAACAGCAGCGGTGAGGCAGCGAACTTGCACGCGGCGGATGCGCGACAGTCGCCGCGGTACGATCCGAGCGACACCGCAATCGGGATCGCCTCGCCGCTGACCAGTGTGCACGACCGCGACTACATCGGGTCCGTGCTGATCCCGCCTTTTAGGAAGGTCGACAGCCTTTTTCCGCCAGGCAGGGGTGTGGATGCGTTCCTGGTCCAGAAGGACCCGCTCTCTGCTCAGCAGCACCTGTACAAGGACCTTCATGAAGCGCTTGACGACGGCTTTTGGAAGGGGGTTCGACGATTGCTGACGCACTGGTAAAGACAGAGATGGGGGCCGTCATAGTTCGGCGCTGTTGTGGGTGTTTTGTTTGTTTTGTTTCCGCTGATGCTGGTCTCTTATTACTGTGAGGAGCACAACTCTGCTTGTGAACGTCAGGTGTATGTGGGTTCATGTGCGTGCGTGTGTGCGTGTACGTGTGTGTTCCGTGTGGGCTACGACCGCATTCTTCAAAGTTGTGTTCTAAGCTCTCTTATTATTAATATTATTATTGTTGTTATTTGTTTTGGTATCAACGTAGTTGTTGCTGCTGCTGCTGCTGTTAGACGGTGTTGTCTTTTTTTTGCCGTTCCTTAACCGCCGCGTTGCGATTGTTCCCCGCACGCGGGCGCCTCTCCCTTCTGTCTTTCTCTCTCTCTCTCCGTGATGCGTTGAAGTGTACTTGTCGCTTGACACGTAGCGCCAATGATACATGTATGGAGAAGGAGTTAGGATGAAGCAGATCGTGTGGATCTCCTCTCCGTGTGTGTGCGTGTGTGTGAGTAGGGGGGGGGGATTGTTGTATGTGTGGGTGTTAGCGTCGCCCGCCTCTCCGGTGCCCAGGTGACCCCCACGCGGGCCCTCACACCTCTGCACGTCTCCGTGCGCGTGTGTGTTTCTGCCCAACCCCCTCGCTCTCGAGAAGAGCCGTGTTGCTTTGCCATTCACGTTTTGAGCCAGTTATTCCCCCTCTCTCATTCTCCATTATTATTATTCTCCGTGTGTGTGGGGGTCTTCGTCTTTCAATGGTGGACAGCTCCTGCTGCCGCTGCTTTCTCATTCACTTACATATCTTTTCTTTGGCCCGTCGTGTGTGCGGGTGCCGCCTCTCTTTCAAGTACTGCGGACATTTTCCATTTGTGTGCCCTGCCCGGCCGCTTCTCCCTGCTTCATACATTTCGAAGGACAACTGCGCTTGAAGAAGACTCGCTACTTTCCGTTACTGCACGGGGGGAGTTGTTTGTTTTTTTCTCTTCTCTCTGCCTCCGTTCGTGGATTGCAGAGCCACCCCCAATCGGGTGTGCGTTGCATCTCCCCCACGCACCGCCACATCTCGTCGGGCCTTTTTCATTCGTTTATTTCTATTTACATTTAATTATTCTATTTTATTTGCCGAGGCACTTCAGCGTAATGGCGGCATCGCAAGTCGTGGCGGACGCCAACGTGCAGGTCACCCTTCCCTCCGCGTCCCCCGCCTCTGGCGAGTTCGCCGCGGCCCATGCGCAGCTTCTCCTCATCGGCGAGGCGATTCGCACGGCGGTGTCTGACCTCGCCATCGCGCCTACTCGCCCCCTGCCTCCTCCGTCATCCCCGCAGCCTCTGTCGCAGCCAGCACCCGGGCAGCAGCCACACGAGGATCGCGCCGCACCTGCTGCTCCCCCTGCCTCCCGGTCCACAGGTCTCAAGACGCTCTCCGCCTTCGCCGCGGACACCGCCAGGACTCCGGTGATGATCACCGCGACGGACCGCCTGGCGGCCCTGCACGACCACCTCCGCCGTGTGCAGTCGCTCATGAAGGAGTACGAGACGGTATCGCAGCGCGCCGTCGCGATGCACCTGCTGCCGCCGACGCCGGCGGGGGAGGGCGAGGAGTTGGAGCGGCCGTCCGCTGCGGCCCCTCCGGCGCCGCCGTCGCCCACGCGGCGCAACAATTCCCCACCACAACCGCCATCGTCGTCGTCGCCACGACCTGGTGCTGGTGCCGCACACAACAAGGCGAGCGTAGGTAACAGTACGCATGTAGGTCCAAAGCCGGCGGATGCGAATGTGGAAAGAAAGGAGGGGCCGGGCGGCGGCAATTCTTCTCCGTCGGCGGCAGGTCCGTCTCTGCATCAACGACGTGCCCTGGCGAGCGATGCCGTGTTCTCACGCTTCTGCGGGCTGCAGACGGGTCCGGAGAACCTCCTCCTGCCCTGGGCGACGTCGACGCCGACGACCGCTTCGACGGATGCCGCGTTCAAACTCACATCCCACATGGATGAACCCCATGTCGATTCCTCGCTTTCCCGTCCGGCCAGCCCGTGCAGCTCCTCCAGTCAGACCAGCACCAGCAGCAGTCACCATCAGGCCTCTGCCGCGCTGCGCCTGGCTCAGCAGCAGCGTCAGCAGGCGGCTGCCACGGCGCCCTTCGCGGCTTACTCGGAGTTTTTTCTACATCCGCAGTCCCCCGTCACGCCGGCACCGCTCTTCGCGGGGGACAACAAGGCATCTGCGGTGGACGCGTACCTGTCTTCGCCGGTCGCGGCAGCGGACCCAGTGAACGGCCCCAGCGTCCTCCTCCGTCAGCTGCGCGACACGCAATCTCAGTTTGAGGCGCTGCGTCGCTGCCGCCTCTTCTCATACGAAGGTCGGCTGCGCGACCTGCGAGCCACGGCGGCGGCCGCGGAGCGGAACGCCAACGAGACCGAAGGCGAGGCCAATGAGAAAAAGCGGACGAGCGCATCATCGGCCCCCGCGAAGCAAGCGGCGGCCCCGCCGGTGGAGGAGCCAAAGTGGGAGCACACCACCATGGTGGTGGAGCGCATGAGCACCGTCCTCACCGCACTGCGCACGCGCTTCATCTGCGAGTCCCACTACGCCCACTGCGGGACCCCGGCGGTGACCCTCGGCCGACAGCTGCACGCGTTTACGCAGCCGCTGCTCCGGCAGCTCAACGAACTCCTCTCCAACCCCACCCTCGAAGAGGTCGATCAAGATCCGCGCGAGAAGCTGCGCCGTATGAAGTTCGACATCGAAGAGCTGCAGCAGGCGCAGGCGGACGCTATCACTAATGGGGACATGCAGCGCTCGGAGGAGCTGTACTACGAACAAACAGCGCTGTCCGAAGCGATGAAGACGCCGTACGATGAGCTGGAGCAGCTGTTGGAGGAATACCTCGACGAGTGCGTCACCGCCCCGCTCGCGGCCCTGCAGGAGCAGAAAGACACCGTCACGGCACGCCTGACGCGGCTGATCGAAGAGCACGCGGCTCGACTGACCGCCGTCGCGCAGGACATCGACCGGGTAAAAGAAAAGCGGCGTGCGGTGCTGCAGTCCCGCCACCGCCAGCGCAACACCATGTCGACCTATCAGCAGGGTTGGAAGAAGCAGTGGCAGGGAAACAGCGATCAACAAATGATGTGCTACCGGGCAATGGAGCAGCTGGAGCAGCGACTGTCGGGCCTGCAGCAGGCGCAGAGCGTGCTGGTGGATGATTGGCTCGCCCACATGGCCCTGGAGCGACAACGGGAGGAGGACGCGGCGGCCTTCACGTGCTTCGCGGAGGCGCGCACCCAGGCACTGACCGAGGCGCAACGAAATCTGCAGTCAGTCGTCGACGGTCTGCGGCAATTCAGTGGGGCTATTCACTTCAGCTGCGGTCACGCGGAGGCCTTCGCGCGGGACGTCCTGCAGAACCACGTCGGTGAGGCGCAGCTCGCCCTCCGCAAGGACCGCCTGGCACAGTTCCGCGCGCTGTACCTGACGCTCGGCGACTGGCGCTATAAGAAGTCGCGCAACGCAGCGGAAATACAGAAGAAAGTGGAGTACTACACGCTGCAGCAGGAGGTCGCGATGGACGTGCTGAATCCCAAGGCGAAGGAGTACAGCCAGGCGAAGCAGCAGTGGGAGGCGGCGAAGGAAGAGGCGCTGCTGCAGCTGGAGCAGCTGGACAACCGCAGTCGACTGCAGCTGGAGGCCTTTCGGCCAACGGAGGCACGTCTGCGCGAGGCCGGGGTGGACTTCGTCTCCCCGGAAGAGGAGCTCGAGCAGCGCAATATGCAGCGCACCCAGCGGCTGGTGGAGTATCAGAAGCTGATTGAGGAAGGGATCGGCGTGCGTGCGTCAGACGGCAAGAGAGGCAGCGGCACAACTGCTGCAGCAGCAGCTCAGCGTCTGCCAGCGCTCCTGCACAACAGCACAACAGCACCACCGCCACCGCCACCACCAGCAGCAACAACAACAACAGCGGCAGCGCCTACGCGTCCTTACACGTCGAAAACCCACTCGCCCTCGCCACCACAGTTCTTACGCGTAGGGGACAACGCCTCCGAGCCGCGGGCGGTGCGACGGACGATGTCGTTCACGGACTCCGCCAACACCACGCCCGCGACTTCGTCGCTCGACAGCGACGGGAGAAACGAAGCCCGCTTTGCATCGACGCTCCCGCCCATTCTGACCAAAATGTCGACGCCGCCACGGCTGTGCGCGACCGAGGAGCGCATTATGCGGGACATCTCGAAAACGGCAGGGCTGGGCAACAGCCCTGGCAGTGGAAGGAACCTGAAACGCAAGCAGATGAAAAAAGATGTGCAGCGGTAGTTTGGTTCGGAAGAGAGAGAGAGAGGCAGAGAGTAGTGCCCCTCGCTCGATGGGCCGCCGCTTCGAAGATGGTGCCGTTTTGCCGTTGCTGACGCTTGTACCCGTGGTGGGCGCGTGTGTATGTGTGTATGTGTGTATGTGTGGGTGAATTTGCTTGTTTTTTGTTTTTACTATCTTGGATGATAGTACTTCGTGGATCTTATTCTTAGTTCTTCCTCTTCTCTTTTCTGTTTTCTATTTTACGATGTTATCTAAATCATTTGCGTTACTAATCGCTGGGTGACGCCGCAGACGGGTTAAGGAGTACGTGGAGTACGTGGCTTTCGCGGTTAAAAAGGAAAGAAGAAAAATTGTTCATGTCTTGGACGGTATTATTGGTTTTATTAGTTTTTCTCTTAATGTAAAGAGCGAGGCGGCGACCGGCCTCGTCGCGCGGCGCAATGTTGAATACTTTTTTGTTCTGTTTGTTGATGGTTTTTAAAGAATGTACAGCGCATCTTTCTGTTATGGCACCTATATTCTCTGGATTTTTGTATTTATTATTTCTTGTCTCCCGTATCGTCCGGCAGAGCCTTCATTGTTGGTTTACCTGTACTCAACGTCACAGAAAGCGGCGAAGAGCACCGTGAGTCGTGCCGCTTAGGGCATGGTGTCTGCGTTGTTGAAGGGGGGGGGGGGTAACTGTTATAGCCAGTTTCCTCTGCCCTCTCCCTCTCTCGCTCTCTCTCTCTCTCCCAGTTGTTTAATTCGTTGTTAGTCTGTGTGGGTTTTTTGTGGTTCGGCCCTTGAACGGCAAACCTTCTGTACCTATATATATATATATATATAGTAATGGACCTCCGCTCCCTCCGCATCTTCTCTTTCCTCCTCTTCTTGTGGGTTTCGTCACGCAATGTGATCGAATGCGCGTTGTCCTCCGCCATCACCGCGGCCTCAATGCGGAGAAAGCATACACATACAACGTAGAAGAAAGCAAAAGAAACTGCTGCCCAATATATGTCTGTCGGACTTTCACTTAGCTCTTTCAGCCCACACAATAACGCTGTTTCTTCATATCTACGTACCCACCGGCACACGAAGACGCAAACGCGCCCACCGCCATGTCGTACGCCTCCTCGGCCATCAAGCGGCTAAGCAACGAGTACCGCCAGCTGCAGAAGCCTGAAAACCGCGTCAGTGACTACTACGTGGCCCCGCTGGAGGAGAACATCTTCGAATGGCACTTCACCCTGCGCGGACCGGCGGGCGACGACAACTCCCTCCCCTACAAGGACGGTCTGTACCACGGCGCGCTCATCTTCTCCCGCTCCTACCCGCTCGAGCCGCCTGACGTCATGTTCTTCACCCGCAGCGGTCGCTTCGCCACCTACGAGAAAATATGCTCTACCATCAGCAGCTACCACAAAGAGCTGTGGCAGCCGACCTACGACGTGGCGCTCACGTTGACCGCGCTGCGGCACTTCATGGCGCAGGAGGACGAGTTCGGCGTGGGGGCCTTTCCGAAAAACATGATCCCCGCGGAGTCGAAAGCGGCGTGGGCGAAGGAGACGTGGTCGTTCAAGTGTGACACGTGTGGCCGAGCCACGCGGGATGACTGGACGACGTTCATGCAGATGTACCCGGAGACGTCGGCGGAGAAGGAGGCGCTGGTGCCGAAGCTGCTGCCGCTCCCTCCAGCGGCGGCGGCCTCGTCGGAAGCGGAGAAGGAAGAAGAAGCTCCAGCTGCAGCAACGACGGATACATGCACTGCAACGCAGAACGGCAGGGGGGAAGAGGCGGGTTCAAAGACTCCACCTGCGGCCGCCCCCGCGGAACTTGAGTCGCAGCGGACTCCAAAGGACGCGGGTTCCACCCCACCACTGCCGACTCCATCTCCCCACACAGCAGCTGCAGCGTGTGCTGCCTCTGCAATGGCAGAATTACCTTCATCAGCGCGGGAAGTCGTCTCGGCGTCGCCGCCAGCAGCACCAACAGAACCACACAGTGATGTCCTCGCCACGGATGTCCCCGACGGCTCCGCAGCTCGCACAGATGACACCACCGCGCACGCGTGGCACCACCCCGAACTGGCCGACGACCTCGACGACCTCGACGGCGACGGCATCCCTCGTTGGCGGTTGCTCGCCTCGCCTCTCATGCTAAGTGAGGAAGAGGCGCGACAGCTGGATATGGTGGAGGCCGGCGTGGACATGCTTGATGTGCACTTCGGGCCCATACTGCGTGCGGCATTACGCCGTGAGGCGGAGGAACGGGCGGCCGTCGCTGCTGCTGCTAACGCTGCTCAACACGAAACTGACGACGACGACAACGACGACTTTCTGCGGCCACCGCCACGGCTGCCACAAGATCCAACGTCGGCACGCCCCGAAATGGAGGACGTCCGTGTGGAAGGAGGATCCGCGCTGGAGCTGAACATCCAGGAAGACGACACCGCTGCGCCGCCACAGCAACTTCCGCCACCTCAGCTCGCGGAGAATGCGGTGTTTGGCATACACACCCTTCACCTTTCCATTCCCCTGCGGTACCTGGACCGTGCCATTATCTGGAGCTTTAGCCTTGTTGTGCTCATCTTGTTGCGGCGTGCGGCGTGGGCGATGCTGCCCCCTCTCTGGAGTAGCTCTTGATCTTCTTTATATATATATATATATATATATATATAGTAGGAGGAGGAG